TATTTGACTTACAGGTACCTCGACTTACGAACTTAATCTGTATTGGAACGGCATTCGTACATCGAAAAGTTCGTAAGTCGAAGCACCATTTTCCATGGGAATGCACGGGAATGGGATTAATCCGCTCCAGCATTTCAAAAAAAAATACCAAAAATAAAAATAAACAGAGCAAGTCCCATGCTGGGACTACAAAAAGAAAAGAAAAGAAAGAAAAGAAAGAAAAGAAGTCCAAAAACAAGACAACACATAACCCCCCAGTCCAAACCCACCCTCCAAAACCCACCCAGAACAGTTTTTTTAATGACTTACCAGTCCAAAGCCTCCTCAGCCTCCTAGCGCCAATTGTGAAGGCCCTGATTGCGGTGGTACCCCCAGGACCCCAGGAGGTCTCCAATGGCAGTGGGGAAGCCCTGGGAGACCTCCTAGGGTCTGCCGCCACCATCGGAGACCTCCTGGGGGTCGCTTTTCATAACCGTTGGGCTTCTTGAATTGAATGAAAAAAAGGCAGGGGAAATTTGAATTTCTCGCCCTTTTCCCTTGCCTTTTTTTCATTCGCAAGTCAAGACTTTGTTCACAAATCGAAGCAACATTTTGCAAAATGTTTGCAAGTGGAGACTTCGTAAGTCGAGGTACCACTGTATATCCTGCATTTTTCTCGGAACTAGAACTAAAAGCAGATTCACTAAAAGAAGTGGAAAGGCTCAGCAGATGACACTTTCCCCTGGGGTCAGAGCTCTATGACCAGTAAAAATAGCGAGGGAGCATCAGTAAAATGGTGGAGATAGGTCATAGAAGGCATTGCCCCTTTTAATATCCCACACCCCATTCAGGACTAGATAATGTTCCTCTCATAGGTTGCAATTGGCAAGAATCCATTCCAGACAAATGAAACCGTCATTGGACAGAAGGGAAGACTTCTGCAGCACGGCTTTGTATGTGGTGGTTTATCAACCTTTGGTGGCACTTTCCATGCTCAGTAGGATTACAGAATCTGAAATTTTAAAAAGAAAAATGGGGGTGGGACTGAAAGTACGGTACTTTTTCTCTAGCGGGCTTTTTATCCTAGAGACACCCCTGAAAACATCTTTCTCTCTCACTTCCAAGCTTCTTCTCCCCCCCAAAAAAAAACAGACCATTCTTCTTCTAAGCAACGCCAGTTGTGATTAATATTAAATTGTTTGGGTTTCCCAGTACGAGGCCTATGAGTTATTATAGAGAGGCAAAATATGGGCGATGCTAGCTCAAGGAGGCCTACTTTGACCATGATTGATAGTTTCATAAACTTACAGGAAAAATAAAGCTTAATAAACGGAAGGGGGGAAACTGTGATGACACTTGCAATTATTTCTCAGGATAACACAAATCTTGATGAGTTTTAACTCTTCAGTGCTCTAGGTTATGTACCAAAACAAGAGCTATCTCCTGTGAGCAATCACCATGTACACAATGTACACCGTTGAATAATGTGTCCACTAAGGGGGATTTAAGACAGAATTTGCTCTGTCAGCAATTGCCAAGTGGAAAGATCGGGGAAGCTATTCTTGAGACTATGGGTGAAACCAGAAGTGAGGTTTGCTGCACTTCTGGCTGCACTTCTGCACTTCAGGACATACCACTAGCTGCTTGGTTATCATAACACATACCTCTATGCACCATATGTCAGTTGCTATAAATTATGGCAAATGCATAGTTCCAACCAGGGGTTGGAACTATGCATTTGCCATAATTCATAGCAAAAGTTAGCTGCAAACAAGCATGAATCCCTTTCAACTCATGTCCTGTTTTAACGCAATTCCTCACTTTCTTACATATTAAGCAACCAGACAGACTGAGCCTCGGACGTCTGAAGGGCAAACTTTCACTGATTTGGCAACGCTGGGGCTTTTCTCATTCTCTCTTTCTCAGTTCATGGGTTTGCCAAAGTAATCCGTCTAGGATTGCCCTGCTGTGGTCTCAAAAAGCACAGATTGGGCAACATCTTTAAGTCAGAAGCAAGCCCTACTGCAGTCTAAAACATTTCACAACATTTTAAAATTGCAATATGCCTTGTGTCATGTGCAGTAACATCAGTTTCCCTGGATTGTCTAGTTATAGCCAGGAAAAGGAGAAGGTTCTTCAATGCCAGGAAGAAACCCAAAAAAACAAGCCCCATAGCTAGAGATTAACAAAAATTGTTTCTCAGCACCTCTTAAACATCTTTCGCACAAGGTAGCAGAACAACAGCAGATACCTGACCAATCAAGCCAGTGAAAGGTGTGTCCTTTCAGCCTAAACTGATGTGATATCCCTCCTTCATTTGTATTTGTGTTTCCAGTTGAGGCATAGAGGGTGATCTGCTTGGAAAGCAATTGTAAAAAGATACATACATTAGAAAGAAAATAAATGATTTCCTTTCCACTGAATATTTCATATGGATGCCTTCTGTGCATTTAATCAGCACAAGATGTAGAGACTTAACTAATTTTTATTAAGGGCTGGAATCAGTGTAGGCAGCTACAGTCACACTATTCTTAAATATAACTGAATCCAAAGTGATATAATTTTTATTAAGGGCTGGAATCAGTGTACAGTCACACTATCCTTAAATATAACTGAATCCAAAGTGATAAGGTGCCACTCTTAACAAGGTGCAAAAGATAGAAGCAAGGCGGGGGGAATGTTTGGAGTAAGATTTTGCCCAGGTTGTAACACATGTCTTCATCCAAAGTACACATTTAAAACAAAATATTGCAACTGTAGTTTTAAATCCAGCAGCAATTCAATCAAATGAGAAGGTTTAACATGGATGATATTTCCTATTTGCTAATATTAGTGGCTTGCCTTGTTGGGCTGTTGAGGGGAAAGGTGAATCCAATTAGACATGTATGAATACCATCCACTTTGATTCTGCCCAGATTATTTGTCTTACAGTCACACCTGATTTGCTTTGAGCCAACCTGTAGCCCATTCAATTTGATTTGTATCTAATTATTTCAGAGCAGTTGCATATATTTGTATGAATAATGAAAACACATGAATGCCAGCTTTAAAGGGGATCCTCAAGACTAGGGATCTCCAAACTATGGTCCGTGGGCCATCAAGACTAGGGATCTCCAAACTATGGCCCGTGGGTCTCATGCAGCCCACCTTGCCATTTTATCCTGCCTAGGCATAGGAAGCAGAGAGAAGGGGAACCCAAGCAATTCCCCATCCCAGCTGAATCTAATAAGTCAGTGGGGGTGGGGGATCGCTTGGGCCCCCCTTCCATCCTTCAGCTCTGAAAAATGTGTAAAATATATGATGTAGCCCTCAAGTTGAACAGTTTGGAGACCCTGTTCAAAACAATGCTGTTTAAAGAAGCTTTTAAGGCCATCCTCTGCTGAGTTGCATCACATTTAGCCACCAGTTCCACCATCTTTTAGGTTGTAGGTTTCAGCTTTTGGGTTTTGGGGGTTTTTTTGTTTTGTTTTTTGGTCTTCTCTAATTTTATTGTTTACTACTGATTTTTTTTAATGGGTTGATTTTTTCTCTTGATTTTAAATGACCCAGAGTAGTACTTGTCACTAATTGGGTGGTATACAAGTATAGAAAATAGCATAAATAAATTAAGATGGAGGAAAGTAAAGGGTTCTGTCCTGGGAAGAGGGTACTGCTCCACTTCCAGTGTGCAGGCAAATCTCCCACCAGTTCCCTTCCTCTTGTCAAAGAGTTTACTTTTGCCCAGTTTCCACCCTTCTATGAATCTATCTGTCATTAACTAAGCACAGTTATTCAGCAATAGGTCACCCCAGCATCCTCTGAAATGAAAACTAGTATTCTAGATCTTTTATCTCTGAAATTGAGTCTCTTGAGACTGGCAATAAGGCAATAGGGGGAGACAAAAACAAGAAGAAATTCAATCCCAGCCCCTAAAAAGGATGAAATACTATTAGTGCGTATGGAACTAAGGATTCAATTTAGAACAGAGGACACAGTTCCTTACTCTATGTATAGAAACTTCTACAGCTGATTTCCATTGTTGCAGTTCTGCTGGCAGCCATTACATGGACCTTATGGGCAGTGCTTCTCCCTAGCTAGGAGAGCCACAAACAGGAAGTAACTGCAGAGATAGGTAGGAAAAGGAAGTAAGCATGAGAGTAGCAATCTGTGTGTAGATCTAAAAAAGAGAAAGAATACCTATCGCTGTCTCTGTCTCTCTGTCTGTCTCTCTCTCTCTCTCTCTCACACACACACACACACACACACATACACACATACACACACACGTATACACGGATCAGATCACTCGCTACATTTGTTTGTAGTCTATTACCACAAAGTATGCAATCCACTTTTATCCCTCAACTAGACTAATTTGCTGTTTAATCTTCTCTGTCTTCAGTCTAGGCAGCCCTCTGGTTTGTTCTTGTTCACTTCTGGTCAGCCCAACCCCAGCAGAAGCACTCAAAGTAAGAGAAGTCCAATGGAAGCCTTCACAAATACATTAAGAGAAGTCCATTCCCAACTTCTTCAGATAAAAAGTGAATAAAGATTATCTCTGTGTCATTCTCCTAAGTGCTTATTCCAGTCTCCAGTGGCATTTCAGAGTTAGATTGTGGCTTAAGGCAGAAGTTGCCTCAGAATTTATGTGTGTTTTGTCTCTTGTACAGACAAAAATCAGCAAGTTGATTTTTTCCAAGAGCTACCTGCCATTTTAAGCAGTTGTTGGCTTAATAAGTTAAATAGCTCGAGGGGATGCACATGCTATGATGATTGCATTTGGGAAGAGAACACTATGCCTCTGGGCTTCCATCCCTTAGTGCCAAGATGTGTCATAGTTGTGGTCTGGGTGTTGCAATCCTGAGTTGGTCTTCTTGCCAATGATAAAGGGCAGAAGATCTTAAAACTTTGATTTTCAAGTGGGGGACAGCTAAGGAAAAAAAAATCAGTCAAGCAACACAAACATTGCTTGACTGACAAGATAGGTGTTCCTTTCCAATCAGTTGCAAGCCGCGTATAGCATCTCATAGCCTCCAGCTATGTTCAAACTTAAGAAAGCCAAGAATAATGATCTGGCATTGTTCCTGTAGAAACTGAACCTTTAGCTCTGAAATCTGCTATAACTCCTTCTCAATTGCCTCTGGTAATCATAGCAATGCTGTTCTTATGGGTTTGGAGTTATATCACAGGATTTTGTGCATAAAGGGGAGGGGAATGTTCTCGTATAAACAACTGCAAAAACTGAACATGGCTGAAAACCCTTCAGGGTTTAAAGCATTTGTCTACTGATTTAATTTCTTTTGATTCATTGGGCTGGAGAGCAAGGCCCAAGTCTTTCTCCTTTGTTTTTTGTTTTTTAAACTATTACATTCATTGGTGCAAAAACAATTTTCAAAGTAGTTTTATTTCAAGCAGTCGCCTGAATCGCCCTCATCGTCCTTTGCTAAATTAAATAGGGCTTGGATTAGACTCTGACATGATAGAAGCAGCACAATTGAATTGTTCCATTCATGCTGTAGATTGCTCAGGTCCTTTTAAGGAATTGTGGCTTGGTTAGAAGTTTGCACAGACCTTAGAAGCTATACTAGGCTGTCTGTGTGATGGAAAGGAAGCCAAAAAAAAAAAAAGATGCCCAGAATCAAAGGCGGTATGGTCCAGGTCTGTGGTTCCATGATGATGATGATGATGATGATGATGATGATGATGACGATGACCAGTTTGATGTGTTTATTTCTCAGAAAGAGTAGGTGTCCTTCCTTATCTATATATTCTTTTTAAATGACAGAGTGTCAGGAATTTAGGAAATTAGTCAATCTGGAGCCAGCTTGGCCTGCTCTGGTGGAACATCTTCAGTAATTTATTGTGTGCTTGAATAGGAAGGGATTGGCACCTGGAACTATACAAGGTCGATTGTCGGTGCTTGCTTACTATGCCAGGGTTCATAGTTATTGGGATTACTCATCCGACTACCACATCAAGAAAACGATTGAAGGGTGGTCTAAAGAGAGGGGGGAAATTAGAGATACTAGGGCCCCTATATCACCTGTGTTGTTGGAATGCATCTGTAAGCAGTGGGAGCTTCTATGTAGAGATGCCTATGAAACAGCTTTATTTAAAGCGGCATCTCTATTAACATTTTTGGCGCCCTTAGGATTAGCAAGGTATTTGCTGCTGGAAAGGGGGACACGTCCAAGGCAGTGCTGCAATAGCAGGACGTTAGGGTAGTGGATGAATTGGTTCAGATTCATATTAGGCAATCCAAGGCTGATCAACAAGGTAGGGGAGCTAGCATTGCATTGGCGTATTGCCACATGGAAGATATTTGCCTGGTCAGAGTCACAGATGCATATTTGAAGTTTAGAGGGCAGGAGCAAGGATATTTCTTTCAGCATAGGGACGGTTCTCCATTGACAAGATACCAAATTTGGAAATTGACTGACGTTGCGTTAAACAAAGTCGGTCTACAGGAATTGAGATTCGGTACACATTCCTTTAGAATTAGCATGGCATCAACTGCAGTGACAGTGATCCTAGGCTACAATATAGATAAAACTGAGCAGATAGGACAGTGGTCTTCATCCATCTACCACAGATATATTTAGGACATTTTCTATTGTCTAGGCAGGGGCGTGGTGGCAGCAAGGACACAGCACATCTTGATCATGGGCCATAGTTATGTTTTTTGGACAGCTCACTACGCGGCTGCATCCCCATGGGGAAGAAATTTGGGCTTGGGAGCCAGAGCCAATATTGAAGGGAAAGGACTGTGTGGAATGCTGTGGTGCCAGTTGTGCAGAGCCGTTGGTTTTAGACAATTTTGCCCAGATGTATTGGTGATACTTCTGGGGGGGGGGGCAACGATTTGGCCAAGCGTCATGGAAAGGCCTTGATTATGGATGTGCGGTGTGATCCCACACAGGTGGTTGAAGGCCACTTACCCGGTCGTGAACATTATATGGTTGGCATGGAGAGATGGCAGGAATTTTTTACCCATTAACACTGCTTGCAGGAGTGTTAATAGGGAAGTCTGCAGAGCGGTCTGCAGCAGCCTTGGATTGGTGATTGGTCAACAGAGGATCCGTTTGGATAGGCCAGAGCTTTTTCGGACATATGGTGTACATCTGTCCAATGGTGGTTTGGATGTCTTCCTGGAAGACATCAAGGGGGGCCTGCATGCATGGGACTTAACAAGGCTAGTCCCTATGCTGTGGCAGGTAATGCAGATAAAACAGGTTTTTGGCGAGTCCCATTGCAATATCAGGTAAGCTGTAGCCCATCTGACTTCCCAGTGCTGCGGATCGTGCAATTACAGTGCTTGGGGGAAAAGATGCACCGGGGCCACACCCGGACCAACAGTCAACTAGGAGAAGGTGGT